TTTTATTATAATAAAACACGGAACTTGTGTTTTGGTTCCATTTACCTAAAATATCTGAAGACTTAACAGGACGAAAGTTATGCTGTAAAAACCACAATCAAGGCTCATTAGGTTGATTTTAATCTGATGAAAGCAGCTCCATTYATTTATTTGGACAAAATGTCAGAGAAGTCAGTCAAAAAAMAMMAACATTTAATTCATCCAGCATCACGTCTGGTGCAAACACTTAGAGAAACATAACCAGTGATATTTCAACAGTTTTCACTATACATTTATTAACAGTTCTTTCTAGTTTCTGCAGTRTAACAAAGTTAAATGGGTGGGACATGAAGTTTTCTGTCAGCTGCCACAGGAGGTGACGTGGCACMGACTGAAGCAAAACTACAAGAGCTCTCAGAAACACAAGGAAGGAAACACAAAGAGCAATAATGCAATTAAAAGATTTCTTCCAAAGTGGTAACTCGGGAGGGGAAAAAGTAGATTTACTTACATGAAATATGATGTCACGATGCCAAATGAGGACTCCTAAGCAGTGGTGTGTGAGCTATCAGTGCACATGCAGACACGTCAGCCAGGAACCAGAACGCTGGTTTAGTGTAGTAAACTTTGAAACATTAAGGTTTTATTTTAAAGCAGACCAAAAGAATTCTGCCAAGTATAAAGAAGTATAAAAAAATTAAGAACACTGAAGAAAACTATATCTCAACGAGATAAAGAAAAATGAACAAAAAAAAAAACGTATTTCCCGATTTTTCTAGTAGGATCAGAGTTGAGTCGGTTCTGTTAGGAGACGTCATAACTGAAGTCACTCAKTGAGCCTGTTGTGTTACAGTCCTTCAGAGCTGCCAGTCACAGCTGAGGCTGTGCCAAACGTCTAGTGGGAAAGTTTTTCTCTGTGCCACTTAAAACTCTTCTGCCTGCGGTCTTTAAAGCGCACGTGGCCTCTTGGGATTGATCTGCTTACTGGCTTGCTCCTCCTCCTGAAGTGCAGAGCGGAACGACTTCACTTTATCTGTTCCAGGGGACAGAGATGGAAAAACATTTAAAAAAAAAAAACCATGCCAGTCACATGACACATCTTAAAGTTTACCAGCAGGCCACATTCTAGAACGTTTGAGGCGGTTATACCTCGGAGCTCGGAGAGGATTTCTATTTTTTGGTCTAGGATCTGCTCGAGCTGCGTGGCGTACGACTCCACGTCGTAGTCCACCTCCTCCGTCATCTCCAGCAGCACCTTTTCATCCTCCAGCCACCGGATGGATTCCTGTTCAGAAAAGACAAAGAGCTGCTAAACAACAGAATTTATATTCACTGACAGGTCTTCGCCTGCCTTTATGAGACGAGCTGGAAAGATTCGAGCCTTTACCTGGAAAACGGCTCGGTGGTCCTCCAGGACCTGCTCCTCCATCTCCACCAGCTGAGACACRACTTCGTGAAAGGTGAAGAGCTGGGGAGACACCTCTTCTTCCTGCGACCCGTTTAGACAACGTTATTGCAGCTTCTGATCTCATCTGAAGCCCTCACTGAACGGCCAAACGAAACGGTTCCTGGGAGAACATCTGTACTCACGTTTTGCTCACAGAGCAGTTTGAGGTCGTCTCTCTGCGGTGAGATACTCAGCCACTCCTCRTCCAAAATATCCAGCTGGTTGATGCCGTGGATGTTGGGTCGGCCTCCCTCCATCACCTGGTTGGGGTCCACTGTTAGCTCCTTCACCCTGTAGACGTTACAGAACTAGTCAGGAACTGTGCGGGAGTTAAAGGGGGGATTAAAGGGGCTCACGGTTTGCATATTGAAACAGCATCATGGCAATAATAAAGTCGTGCAAACAGAAAACAAGTTGACATGGTCAGAACTTGGCTTTGATGAGGTGTAATGGAGCAGATGAGGAATTAGTGCCATGTGCCCATTATTTAGGTACAGCAGTAATTAATTAAGGCTCAGCCTATTAGGAGGATCGCCTGCTGAGAGTCGGCTCAAACACAACCTGTACTTAGCTAAAGTCAATTTGAAATCAGCGTTTTTGTTTGGACTACACACTTCCTGCTGTCACACTCATCACAACTGAGCACAAACTCATGAGGGCAGATGGGCGTATTGTTCTGSAGGGGTGGGTAAGAGGAAAATGTTTTAACAGCGCAGCAGGAGGTGAAAGTGAAAAAAGATAGGGATGAAAAAAAAGGGGTCAGACAAAAACAAAGAAAAACCATCGTCCACAATGACCAGCTGATGAAATGAACGATGAGCTCATGGAGGTAACTAATAAAAAATAGACGCATGCAGTGTCGACCTGCTGGGAGAGGTCGCAGCAAAGTCAACAAACTCAAAGGTATTGGCGGGCGAGTGCTCAGGGCGACTTCCCTGACCGCCCTGGGAGAAGGGGATGTCTGACGGACTGATCCCAAACTCCTTCACCCTGCGCACCGGCACGCGAAGGGGCGGAGCAAAGGGAGACAAGAAGAAAGCAGGGAAAAGAAGAGTGAGAGGAGTGTACAAAGAGTCAGAGGAAACTGAAGAGATCAGAAGACAATCTGACATTAGCATCATTATTACATGTAAACTAAAACTATTAAAGGATTGTAGCTGAAGTAAAGAAGTTCAGATATTTTCGTCTCTATAGGAAAGCTCAGGATATTCCCACCTGTTGGCGTAGCGTAGTGTGTTGAGTGTGTTCTCACAGGACGTCATGCCAGGAGAAATTGTTGCAATCTGAATTAAMGAAAAGTAAACAGATTAAATCTGTGATGGAGAACTGATAACAAGGATAAATAATGTACGCAGAGAGAAAACTGACCATGCATGTGCGCGAGTTCTCCCCGATRAAAGAGTCTCTGAGGACCTGGGTGAGCTTACTGGCCCTGAACGGAGTGTGAGGTTTGTTACGACCAAGAGCTCGGATACATTCCTGAAACGAGAGCAAAGCAACGTGAAAACACTGAATTTATCTTCKTCAGAGTTGTAAAGTAACTAAGTACAAATACTTTCTTACTGTACTTAAGTAGAAATTTTGGTTATCTGTACTTTACTTGAGTAATTATTTTTCAGCGTACTTTTTACTTTTCCTCATTACATATTTACACAATTCTCTGCAATTTCTACTCACTACATTTTTTAAAAAGGTAAGAAGTAGAAAGTCGTTACTCTGATTTTATTCCAAGTTAAAAAAAATACTATCCTGATAAATTATGTCTCCTGGATAGAGTGAATTTAATTTTGGTTGGATGAGAAGTATAAATATTCTGACACCGCTTGTACACAACCCATCACAGCTGCACGCCGTTAGAAAACAATATTTTTTTGGAGAAGTCACCTCCCAATAAATGTCATTTTGGAAAATCTAACTGCTCACTTTTACTTGGTACTTTTACTACTTGAGTAGATTTTGTGTCAGAAATTTACTTTTGATACTTAAGTACAAAACATATCAGATACTTTAAGACTTTTACTCAAGTAATATTTTTAGAGAAGACTTTAACTTTTATCAATGTATTTTTATGATAAGATACTTGTACTTTTACTCAAGTATCACTTTGAGGTACTTTAAATAACACTGATCTTCTTTACCAAACTGAGAAGAAAAAAACCCAGAAGCAGCCAGTACGCTGCAACAAAGCCACCCCACAGCTCACAAACCTTGAGGGCCAGCAGGCTTTTGTTTATTTCCGCTCCCTCTAAACGAGTCTGCCGGTCGGCGCTGGACGTGTCGGCCCCCCTCTCGTTCCCCGCGAGGTCGATGAGAGAGAACTTCCCGTGCATTTTCCCCTTCCTTCGAAGAATGATCTGGAAGACGGCGTGGCTGCGGGAGGAGTGAGCGTTGGCTGACGTCTGCCCTGATGTTCTGGGGGGAAAAGGGAGATAAAAATATAAAAGAAGATAAAAACAAATCAAGAACCTGAAAATATGAACAGGTAACAGATTAAAAAMAAAGGTGGGGCTTTAACCTTTTACAAACTAAACCTCTCATACCTGCAGCTGTTTCCCACTTCGATCAGCTTCAGGACATCCTCTGTGCATTTGACTTCTTTCTCCTGCAGGCCCACAACCTGCACCTGCTGCTTCCCGTCCTCCAGCACCCTCAGCTTAGCTTTACGATTCAGCAGGTCGAACACCTGCAAACACCGCGGTCGTTATCGCGGAGCCCCGGGGAGAGGTCGATAAACAAACTGCGAACGTGTCACTTGCCTTTCCGCTGTAGATTTCGAAAAAGGTCGCATACACTTGTAGTTCTAACTTCTTGTTGTTGGGCTTCTTCAGCATGAGAAATACATCCCGAGCTAAACAAAGAGATGGTTTCATCATATCAAAACAAGCCCCGAACTAAAAAAACTAAACAACACTCACCTGCTAATGCATATATTCCTTTAGAGCAGTCTTGGTTCTTCCCAGAGAAATCTCCACCCATTGTCTAAAATACACAACACCGTATGAGATGTCAGCTTTATACTGCTGTTCTTTTTTAAATAAAAGAAAAACTCTCACAATAATGTCAGAGTTTTTTTTTCCCTGAGCATTCATTAATCTGTTCAGAGCCACATAAACTCACATGTGTTTTACCGCTGCCTGTTTGCCCGTAGGCAAAGCAGGTGGCCATGCCTCGCTCAAAAATGGTCTCCACTAGAGGTCTGGCTGTGAACCTGCAGGATGAGGTGGAACAAAAAAATATATATATAATCCAACTTCATCTACAGGAGAGAGAAATTTATCATAAAGAAAAATAAATGTTACCTTTTAATTTAAAGCAATAAATTATCTTTTACCATACTATTACACTTTTATTCTTGCTATTATTATACAGTTTTATTTTTCTTATATTTCTAAAGTACAGTAATATAATTGTATTATTTGTAATATCCTGGATAGCAGCCCGTGGTTCAGAGAATAGTGTAAGAATGCAGGTAAATAACCAGTTTGTTTTGGTTTAATCCTTCGTTGAGTTGCCTTACAAACCTGTACACCATCTCATTGGTGGTGCTTTCATCGAAGGCGTAGTCAAATCGAAAGGTCTGGTTCTCCAGAAAGCGGGTGAGGTCCACTTTTTGTTTCGGTTCATGAACCATCACTACATCTTTACTGGGAATGGTGATCACGTCCAGATCCTTCATCGTCACCTCTGGAGCAGGACAGAGTTCAAAACGTTCAATTATAAACTCTGTTGGAGAATTAAGACTCACACACAGGAATGACTTGTGCTGCATTAAAGTTCCTACCTTTCTTATTGAGGGGACGTTTTCTTACACAAACACATATTCTGTGCTCTTCGATCTTGACAGTTAACACGAGGAAATGTTATTAATATTAAGGTCTCAAATTACCAGTGATAATAAATCTATAATTTGGGGTCACTACTCACCATGTCTGCTGTGGTCAGTGGCCGGTAGTCTAGACTGGCTCGAAAGTCTCTGATCATGTACATGATCTCATAATTAGGGATGGTAGTATCCACCTCCTGAAGAGACACAAGCAGAGACAAAAGGACAACTGCAACACAAACTTATTGATGACAGAGTTGAAGATGTGCTCCATGTTGCTCTACCTGAGCTCTCTTCTCTCTGAGCTCCTGCTGCTGAAGCCGGCGTCTCTCTCTTTTCTCCTGCAGTTTCTCYACCTCCTTCACACAGTTGGACTTCCTCCTTGCTATCGTTGGAAACAGGAGAGAAGCGTATCGTCTGCGTTTATAAAAGCTCTGTTTACTGTTTGTTCACTGCCTCCTGACTGAGCTTCATCCAAGTTGGAGGAAATCACTGGGGGACTGGAGACGAAGCTAAATGATGTTCATAAAGAGGCTGTAAGTGTTTCTGGTGAACACCAAATGTTTTYTTTAATCAACAAAAGACTTTTAAAAATGTGTCAAAAGCCTGAYCGTCATATCAAACATTTTGATTGGCTTTATCAGACACAGCAGGGCTTTTAACTACAACATGTAGCGTTCTATTCATTTAAAAGCATCTAACACTATTGTCTCAATAGATTATCCCAGACAGAGCACACCCACTGGTTAGTGTTTTAAATGTATCCCATCAGGTTAGTAAATGAAAACACACGTTAGCATAAWGTCAGTACAAATCAGTTCCCACCACAGCTGCTGCAGCTCCCGTGTCCCACTGCAAACCTTGACTAAACCCTGCAATACAGTTCCTGTCTCACGCTGGCTCCAGTCCCTGGAAACCCAGACGGATTATTAATCTGCTCTAATCTGGCAAAAATATGAGCCAGGTCAGCACCAGGACAAGAAAGTAAAACAGGAATGCTGCAGCACCCTAACTGCGGGTTATTCAGATCCATACGGATTAGGCTGGTTGGGGTTTATCGAGTATAATCTGAATAACAGTACCGTAATCTGAATAACAGTACAGTAATCTGAATAACAGTATAGTCCAAGAAGCKTCTCCGTGTGTGAACTTGTGACTCAGCAGAACTCAAACTGAGAAAGGTTAGTGTACTCAAGCAGCAGCACAAATGCCTTTTAAATAATACCCAGAAAGCCCGTCTGATGGACGGATTACATTAGTGCTGCTTCATCTCAACACCACAGCTCAGAGGAGTGAAAAGCTTTGGCTCTACGACCTTCATGTTAGACTAGAACGCTCACAATCTATCAGCAGATCTACTGGAATCATCATAAAGAGCTGAGGGTGGGGGGAACATGGAGGTGATACATACAAAGCTGTCCAATCTCCTTTCTGGACATCAGCTGATGTGCGGATTCTGTGACGAGTGTGAGCAACAAAACATCATTATTTAGAGTTTGAATTTTTTTTCTTTTTTTGTCTAAATATATAATTTTAACCAAGAAAAGGTTCGACACTTTTTACTTTTTGACCATATTTAAGACAACTCGGAGAGTTTTATTTGCAAACATCTTTTATCCTTTAAATGTTCAAGGGTTAAAATAAATTTAAATACAGAACTTCTCTCTCTCTCTCTCTCTCTCAAAAAAAAAGATCTTAAGTTAACTGATAAAAGAACAGCAAAATGCTGATCATGTTACCATTTTGTAGTTGCTGCTGTGTCTGGATCTGAGTGGGTGGGGCAGGCTGCGGGGGCGGAGGAGGGGGAGCGGGCTCCGGCTGCTGAGGCTGTGGAGGTCTGGCCCGGGTTGGAATAGCTAAAACACAAAAGCCACAAATGTCAACATAAGACAGGTGTCACCGAGACCCAATAAATAAGCTTCACGTTAAAAAAAACTGCATCTGTTTTTAATTCACTCTGACTTTATAAAAAGTGTCTTCATGTATTTTATGAAAGCTTACTAAAACTTTAAACTCATCTGCTAAAGCTGTGTTTATAGAGGGCCAGAAAACTTAGCTTACATCGGTCAGTGATGTGTTTAATGTGTAGTAAACATTGTAAATAAAATTCAAAACAAACTGGAACAAACCTCTATTGTCTTTGGATGGAGTTTCATTTTTAACAGGAGCTATTGTCCGTCGGTTCTGTAAATAAAAAWAATAATAATAATAATAATGAGCCTGACTGTTTTAATTAAACTTCAAATTTATTTACCAAATATTTGGTTATCCCTGAAACAGTTAATGGTTATATCACCCAAGAACAATCAATGTTGCCTCTATAACCAGTCTTTGTATAAAGATACATAAAAAGAATCTGATTAGAAAAAATTACAAAGATCTCATCTAATAAAGAGACAGCACCGTTAAACACACAAAGCAAACATTAATTTCGGCCCTGTTTACAGGAGAATGATCTCTGGAAAGGTTAGTGTTGCTTCAGTATTTATATATTGTAAAAAATAAACATGGATATTGAAGTGCTTGGTTTTTTTTCTCTGTAGTTTCCATGCCCACATTTTACAACTGAAACAGCTTGTGAAAAAGTAACAGTCTAAAGCAGGGGTGCCCAACCAGTCGCTCGCAGCTGGTCCCCAGGTGCCCGTGAAGTGCAACCTTGCTGCGGAGCCTCTAGCGCCGGCTCTGAGCGTCAGACCCCAGAGTGGCTGTCTTATTTGAAAGCTCTGGTTCTGTCCTACAAGCTGATACTTGAATGGAGTCTCTACGACGTTCCTCCGCAGAGCTATAAGCAAATTACGCACGACTTAGTGCATTTTAAGCGCATTTTTGGGAGGAAATTTCAACCTTCGTTTGCTTCTCCCGCGGGCTCTGAGCATCGGATCTGGGAAAGTGAGATGACTTTGGAAAGCTACGGTTCTCCTCTACAAACTGGAGATGGTTGCAAGGTCCTGGGACGTTTCCCTGCGGAGCTATTAACCAACGRCCGGCCGAAAAAGGCGCTTTGGCGGTCGATACAGTACTCAATTTACTGCGGAGCCTCTAGCGCCGGCTCTGAGCGTMGGATCCAGGTGTGAAGGAAGAGGAAGAGAGGAAGGAAGAGATCCAGTGAGGTGGAACCGCAGTCATGCGTGCAGCACCCGCTCTCCTGCCTGGATTTAGCCAGAAACCCCTGGCGGGCGATATTTCTGCAAAAATGCATAAAATTCAGAAATCCACCTGATGGATCACATCCAGGCAATAAAAGGAACAGATCTGATCAGGTGAAACCGGTCCTGGAAGTTCAGCACCGGGTTTTATAGCCGCTTGCGAGAGAGTTTTATATTGTGTGCTTTGATTTTGAAAAAAAGGGCAGTACTCTTGTGGTAGCCATGTTGACCCTGATGGTTTTTTGTTTTGTTTTTCCTCCCCTGTATGGAGAGAAGAGAGGAGATGAATAAATGGAGAGGAGTTCCCATGCTCCAAAGTTATTTGACTCTGTGGTTCTCACTGGACAGGTTTCAGCCCTCGCAGCTCGCACATTACAGGGAGTACTGATTGAAGGAGATAAAAAATGGTACTTTTTGTTCAAGCATCACTTTTATGTTTCTCTGTCAGTAGTTAAGTAAGGATTTTATCTTTTCTTTTTTTTGTAGGTAAATATATGGTTAAGTAGATAGTTTTGTTTGACAATACTTTAATTTAAATAAAACTAACAAAAAATTACATTCTGTTTTATTTACTTTAAAGAAGTGAGGAGTAGGGAGACAAAATTATGTTTTTTGATACTGAGACTGGACGAGTAGCTCTCGGCAAACTGCCAACTTCAAAAGTAGCTCTTGGTTCAAAAAAGGTTGAGCACCCCTGGTCTAAAGTAAAAAAAATAATAATCTAAACCTTTTTATTCAGCTTCCTCCTGTTGGATTTTTACTGGTAACATGACTCACGGTGAATGTGAAACTGGAAACGATGTGTAATCTAACAATTATCACATAATTGCAGGTCTAATCTACAGTACACACAATACATGTGACGAGAAAACTCAGATCATTTCTACTTCCTACTTTACTTGTTACTGTTTGATTAGATGACATTTCTAACCTTTGCTATTTTGTTGACCTTCACACATGTGGATATAGGAGGGGGTGGAGTCTCTGGGCTAGGGGCAATCTCTTCTTCGGGAGCCACATCTGGATTAAGTGCAAATATACTTTCCAAGTCAATCTATAAAAGAAAAAAAGAGCAGTGTTAACTAATTATATACAGTATGTTCATGAGCTAATATCTGATATTCAAAGTTAAAATAATACTATTCATTCTTAACACAATTAAACACGAAATGTAACCACAAAACAGGATTTAAAAAAATAATAATTCAGACATGAACTTGAGTGATTTAATTTGAGCAAGAGACAAACATTGTTACTTAAAAAATAGTGTTTAGCCATATTTATGTAAATATAAGATATTCAGCAGAGGCAGTGATTTTTTATTTTAAATGTATGCTTGAACATTTTTATCTCTTGTGAAAATGTACCACTTAAAAACGTTCTAACGCAAATACACTCCAAAATGTCTATGACTAGTATCACAACAAGTTAAAAGTGCTCAAGTATTAAACAGCTTAGAAAAGATCATCAAAAAAATGACTGAGATGAAAACTCTACAAAATTCAAAATTCATATCAATTCAGCTTGTGGTCTGCATACTGGTGACTTCCATCTGGCCTACCAATGAGCCCCCCACCACACACACACACACACACACACACACACAAAATATTTTAACAGAGACAGTAGGGAAGAACTGCTCTGATCTAGGCAGTTCTTACCTTCTTATATACGAGAAAGCGGCCCAAAGTTACAGGCAAATGAAAGATTTCTCACTTTTTTTATTCAGTATTTATTTAATATTAGTCCTCATTTATAAAGTTGGTTGTGCTTTAAATACACACTGAACATGACCTGATTAGCAGGTTGTGTAAGCTTTATGCACATCAGTGTACAAGAAGGTAATGTCTGGTAGAAACAAAAGAAAAGCACACAAGTTATATAATTACAACAGCTGTCTCTGGATGCATTATTCACTGGAGTTGGAAATAAACGTGCAAACTGCTGCTGCTGGTGAGGGTGTTCTGTCAACAAAAAGTGCTAAATTATAGCTTACCTCTTTCCCCTTTGTGTCCCCATTTTCTATCCACTCCACAGTGACACTCTCGTTGTCCTCATTTAAAGACGTCACCATTGCCTGATGAATACGTCCTGTAAAAGAATCAGACAAAAAGGTGCTCAAATATCAGATCTGCAGAACAAGAAACAGGACAGTTTAAGCTTCCAGAGCCAACGTATGTTTTATACAATATCGGTGACAAATTTTTACACAATTTGGCATAAATAATTGCCATGCGAGGGCCACTCACTCCTTAGCAACTTAGAGAGATAACAGAAAACAATATTACAGAATAATTCTGACGCATTTAAACTTTTGCACACTCTTTCCCTCAMACAGTCACATTATAAATCAATTTAACAACCACAGTTTTAAGTATTACAGTTCATTCATGGTGAGGAAGCAAATAAAAAGCTTTTTTATTTAGCCAAGTTTAACAAAGTAACACCTTTTTCTAAATATAGAGAAAATGTCTCAGTAAAATTAAGAATCTCTTTTTCAAGACAAAAACCCAGGCCAAGACACACAAATATATCACACAATAACAATAAAACTACAACTGATATTCTGCAGATCTGTGAATTTGAAGATGTAATAAAGTACATGCAAATAAAACCATATTCAATTTAATTTAGTGCACATGGGGAAAGTCTACATGTCATGTAAGACTGAGCTGTTCTGGTTCTAATCTCAGTAAGTTCTGACCGTGAGGACTGATTAATGACCATTAGAGCCACAGACAACCACAGCTGCTGCCGGTCCCCAGGCTGCTGTGTGTGCAGCCCGATAACAGCTGTAAAAAGCCTCTTCAATCCTTTCACATTTGCCTGCATGGATTTTACTGCCTACTGTAAGTTCTCATCGCAGCCCAATAAAACATCATGTTCCAGTATCCATTATTCAGAGATACGTTTGGAGTGAACAAAGATGCTCCAGTGCTTTGAACGGCTGCACCTTTTACTGATTTATGAAAATATTTCACAAGGCAGAAAAAGTGGATCTGCTGCCTTGTAGTCATTTCTGTGAATCAGAGGTTGAACCTTTTAGTTTTATGACATTATGCTGCTTAGTGTACATAAGGATATTTTTAATGAACTGCATGTGTGCTAGAAATTGGGGAAACATCATTGGTGAGGAGAACGCCACTTTACCAGTTCGTCAGTAATCTTTTTGCTCCAAGTGCGGAGTTTCAGAGAGGTTTCAAGTGCACACCATATGTTCAGTGGATGACACTGTACACCTCCATGTTCCAGATGAGCTGCTGGAGAGCAGTGCATTATGGGGTTTATACTGCCAGCCTTGTTCACACATTTTAACCTTATACTAACAGCCTGAAATGCGAAGTTGCTAATTTGTCTTAGCTGATTTCCTATAAGAAAATTTAATTCGCCATCCACATCGTCCTACTTTTATTTTTATCCTTATATCTACACCTCTCAGACTGGCTTAAACTTAGTTCTCCAAGCTCTGCTAAACAAAGCCTTTAAAGCATCAATTACTCCACAGAAACAGACAATTATTGATATATGCTTGACACCAAATCCCTGAACAATAAATGCTGTTAACTGGGGTGTAAGAAAATATCGATACACTGAAATATCGCGATATTTCATTTCACGATACTGTATCAATATTCTAAAGCCCTGTATCGATTTTTAATTAAGGTTTAAAA